GGTTGATGAGGAAAGGCATGAAGTCAATGTGGAATGTGCTAATGAAGAGGATGGCTATGATTCCCATGCTATGGATACTGATGAAGAGGATGATTCATATGATGAAACATCTGATGGAGAGTTGGTTAGGAAGGAGAAGAAATTCCCCAAGTTTGATGTCAATGCTCCAGTGCCAGTATTCACTGTTGGGATGGCTTTTAGTGATAAGTCAACATTCAGGGAGGTTGTCATCAAGTATGGGCTTGCAGAAAGGAAGGTGATTAAGTTTTTGAAGAATGAGAGCACAAGGTGTAGAGTAGTTTGTTCATGGCCAAAGTGCCATTGGGTTTTGCATCTGTCAAAGGCATCAAGGGCAAGTAGTTGGCTTATAGCCACATGTAAAGATATGCACACATGCCCACCAAGGAGAGACAACTCTTTAGTGACATCAAGGAGAATAGCAGATAAATATGAGAAGTTGATATTGGCTAACCCACAGTGGTCAGTTGAGAGTATAAGAGAAACAATTCAGGAGAAAATGTTTGCAGATGTTAGTATTTCAAAGATTAAGAGAGCCAAATCAATTGTGATGCAAAGGATGTATGATGCAACCAAGGGAGAGTATGCTCTGGTGTTTGACTACCAGCTTGAACTGTTGAGAAGTAATTCTGGGAGTACAATAGTAGTGAAGCTTCACACTGAAGAACTTGAACCCATATTAATGAGGTTTTATGTCTGCTTTGATGCATGCAACAAGGGGTTTCTTGCTGGTTGCAGGAAGGTTATTGGACTGGATGGTTGTTTTTTTAAGGGATTAACCAATGGAGAACTACTTTGTGCACTAGGTAGAGATGCCAACGATCAAATGTACCCAATAGCTTGGGCAGTTGTAGAGAGGGAGACCAAGGAGTCCTAGGACTTTTTCTTATCTTTGCTGAGCACTGACTTGCAGTTTGGTGATGGTGATGGTTGGGTATTCATTTCTGACCAACAGAAGGGGCTCATCAATGCAGTAAACAAGTGGGCACCTAAGGTGGAGCATAGGATGTGTGCCAGGCATATCTATGCTAACTAGAGGAAGAAGTTCACTAACAAGAAGTATCAGAAGCTTTTTTGGAGATGTGTAAAGTCTTCATCAATGAATCTATTCAACTACAACATGAACAAGCTAAGGGCAGAGACACCACATGGGGCTGATGCTATTTTGAGAACTGATTCTGAGCATTGGAGTAGAGCATGGTTCAAAATTGGGTCATTCTGTGATTCTGTGGACAATAACATGTGTGAGTGCTTCAACCATTGGATTCTAAAAGCAAGGTTCCTTCCAATCGTAAGTATGCTTGAAGGTATAAGGCACCAAGTTATGGTAAGAATCCATGAGAACAGGAACAAGGCAAAAAGGTGGACAAGTCTCATATGTCCAAACACCTACAAGAAGCTGATGACATGTCACAGCTAGTGGGTTCTGCCATGCTATCAGCAATGGCAACAATTGCTATGAAGTAACCTACTGGGATCACAGATTCACTGTGAATTTGGATGAGAGAACTTGCTCCTGTAGGTTCTGGCAGTTGTCAGGTTTGCCCTGCCCTCATGCTATTTCCTGCATCTACTATGCATACAGGCCTTTAGAAGAATTCATAGCCAAGTGTTATTCTGTTGAGGAGTACAACAAGACATATGCACACTGCCTGCAACCAGTGGAAGGCAAGGCCTTCTAGCCAGTATCAAATAGAGAAAAGCCATTGCCCCCAGGTATGTAAGGATGCCTAGAAGACCAAAGAAGGAGAGAGAAAGGCACGATGGGGAGAAGAAGAAGCCACCTCAGGGTAAGCTATCCAAGAAAGGAACAACTATAAGGTGTAGAGTATGTAAAGGGATTGGACACAACAGGACAACTTGTAGCAGGAGGACAGGTTCTGGTAATGCAAGTGGTGGTGCTTCACAGTCTGGTAATGCAAGTGGTGGTGCTTCATAGTCTGTTAGAGAGGAGGTGATGGTGCTTCACAGTCTGGTAGAGGAGGCTCATCAAAAAGGATGTCATGCCCTTCATCTACTGCTGCTAGTAGCAAAAGACACTGCAATGTAAGTTTAACTGTTTATTCCATGTGGTCATCCTTAATAGTAATATACTTTCTTTGTCTTAGTTATATACTTCCTTTGTCTTGCAGGATGGGCAAAAAGATATGAAGTCATCAGCAAGAGTGAAGACAACGCTGAAGGAAGGGGCTCGGGCTAAGGTCACCCTAGAGGCCACTATACTAGGGATGTCTGGAAATCACAGTAAAGCAAGCCTCCAAGTTTCAGGTGCTTCTACCTCCAAGGTTGCTGTGTCAGCTGTAGGACCAGCCAAGCAGATTTATCTAGAGGAAGGAAGACCAAGTGCAGCTGATCACAAGGGAGCCACTACTTCTACCTTACTAATGACATACCCAAATCCTTGAACCCATGTCTGTGTCTGTGTCTTATGTATGCTATCTGAAACTATTGTAATGAACTTGGATCTGTATTATCTATGCTATCTGGAACTATTGTAATGAACTACTGTAATGAACTTGGATCTATCCTTCTACCTTACTTCATGTGTGTCAAATTTCATGAGTCTGTGTGTGTGCAACCTGAACTATTGTAATGAACTTGAATCTGTGTTAATCACTGAATGACATGTGTTAATCACTGAATGACATGTGTTGTATGGATCTGTGTTGCATTGAACTTTAGTCATCTCTTTGTGCAGACGCCATCAAAAATTTGACAAAGCTCACTGGTTACACATATAAAAGGATTCATGCAACCACATTTCACTAAAACATTAGGACATGAGCATTAACCTGATACTCATACATGGTCTTGAGCATTATGCTCATGCATTAAGCTAATACACAACCCATAATAGAACCTGAACAGGTTTTCAATACCAACATGGATCCTACTAACTACAACTACAACTACACCAAGGCCAACACCACATTGACTTACATGATCCAAGGCATCCAGGAAGCAGCCACTAATCCTACACAAACAAATAGAGCACCAAACAAGAACTTCCTCTCCTTCTCCAATGTCCCTATCCTCACCTCTAACTCAACCCTAGATTCAGCTCCCAACTGCAATTCAGCTTGCATAATGGCCACATCTCTCCTGGCTACAACAAACATGGCCCCTCTGTCTTCATTGTACCTGATAGCGCCTTCCGGCTCAAGCTGCAGTCTTTGATTCTCCCTTGTTGTGCCTTCCAGCTGAAGCTGCAGTCTTTGAATCTCCCTTGTTGCACCTTCCAAGAGTCTTGCAGTCTCCATTCTTGCATCTTCCAAACTCTGTTCAGCTACTCCAGTTGCATGCTTTCAGTACTTCACTCATCTCGCAAATCAAGCAGAAGTTGCTTCTTGAAGCTACTGTTTGGCGGATCCACCCAATTATAAAAGTCGCAACCACCATCCTATGAAACAAACCAATAACCAACAAATCAGAGACACACTCAATCACTGATGCATCTACAGACTATGAATCACGAAGAGAACAACTTACACGAGCCCGTGCACACTTCAGATACCGTAATCCTGGGTTCAAATCACTCCAAGATATGAACCTAGCAGCTTTTGCACCGCATTTGCATAGCACAACTGGGGTATACTCCAGTGGTCCTTCACGATAGGGGATGGGTGAGGACGAATCGCCATGGCGACGCCATCGCGACTCTTGGGTCCCCAAACTTTGGCTGGATCCGCTTGAGGTCGCCATATACGACTGCGAAGGCAGCGGCGGAGGACTCCCAGGCGGAGGGGAGACTGCGGATGTGGAGGCACCGGAGGAGAGGATGCGGTAGCGGCTACGGCGATGGAGGCGGCGGCGGCGGCATCTAGGGTTCGGGGGAGAGGAACTGAGAGGGAGAGACAGAGCTGAGCGGGCCGGCTCGTGTTTTGACCCGCGCGTTGATCCTACGTGTCCGTCACCGCCAGCGTGGCCACTCAAAACCGGGAACACATCAGCGCAAACTGCCTCAAACGCGCCGAGGGGCTTAAACTGAACGGGTTTGAAAGTTCCGGTGCCTAGATCAGACGGTTTTGTACTTGGAGGTAAAAATTAGACCGACATGAGAGTTTAGGGGCCAAAAGTGGACTTAATCCTTCTCTGGGTGGTCTAATAATAGGACTAAAGACGAACCCTAGGTAGCCAGGTGATTCAGTTTAATCTACGCCGCCAAATTTTCTACAGTATTTAATTTGCTAAAGTGGTCATCAGTAGACAGTAGGGCCTAAATGAACCACGATAAGCCAGACAAATTGATTTTATCGTATATATGGTGTCAAATCTTCTTGTTCTCTAGGTGGTCAAAAAGACCAAAAATGGATTGCAGAAAGACAAATGCCGTTGTAATTATTGGATACGTACAGTAGATCACACTGACCTTAATCCCTCAGTTGCAAACAAATGCTGTTGTACACTGACGCAATCACCAAGTGGTGGCAATTTCGACCACTGACTTTTATTATATATACCAAATAAAAATCAAAGTTTTTTTTGAGTATCTACTATGTATATGCATGATTTGTGTCGATCTAATTTTGGAATTTCTTTTGACATATCGGTTAAAAAGGGACCAGAAGTAGAAGAGTGTACTGCTTGGCCTAATTGCAATTAATCTACCCTTTTGAGAGATCACAAACCAGCCGGAACAGAAGTAGAAGAGTGTACTGGCTGCTTTGGCTGTGGCTTGTCGTAAACGATCGTAAATTTTCAGCCGGAACAGTATTTTTCTCTCACACAAATCAATCAGTAGTATTTCTTCACGAACCAGCAACGAAACGAACCAGCCAACCGAACAGCCTGTTTATCTGGTGTGCTTCCTTCTCCCAGTCTCCCACACATAGAGACGCATGAAGGTCAATTCACCAGCAAAAGGGGTGTGCCTCTCTCCGTGTGCTTCAGGCTTTACATACACTGTTGGGGGAGAGGAGGTAGAGAGAAAAGAGGAAACTGCTAGAGAGAGAAGGGGGAGAGGGGAGGAGCGGTCGGCAGCCATGGGGCACCACTGCTGCAGCAAGCAGATGGTGAAGCGCGGGCTGTGGTCGCCGGAGGAGGACGAGAAGCTCGTCAAGTACATCACCACCCACGGCCACAGCTGCTGGAGCGCCGTCCCCAAGCACGCCGGTATGCTCCGGCCAACCCGTCCGTCCTAGTAATTCAAAGAAGAAATTGGATTTGTTCACGTCGTCCTGATCGACGCGCGCTGTGTTGTTGCCAATCGAATCGACCGACGACCAGGGCTGCAGCGGTGCGGCAAGAGCTGCCGCCTCCGGTGGATCAACTACCTCCGGCCGGACCTCAAGCGCGGCACCTTCTCCGACCATGAGGAGCGCACCATCATCGACGTCCACCGCATCCTCGGCAACCGGTACGTACGGGCATACTAGCTTCTTGCCGTCTCTCTTGTTCCCGGCGAACTGGTTACTCACCGCGGCCATGGCTGGAACTCACAGATGGGCGCAGATCGCCAAGCACCTGCCCGGGCGCACGGACAACGAGGTCAAGAACTTCTGGAACTCATGCATCAAGAAGAAGCTCATCGCGCAGGGCCTCGACCCCAAGACCCACAACCTCCTGCCGGCCTCCAGGAGTCTCCTCCACGGCGGCAACGGGGCAAACCCTAGCAGCAACAATCCTGCCCAGTTCCACTCCAACGGCGGCGCTGCTGTCGTCTCTGTCGCCACGACGCCCTTCACCATCAGCTCCCCGACCAAGGCCGCCGCCTACGACACCGTCACGGTCACGCCGCCTCCGGAGATGGCGCCGACAATGTACGACGTCCCTAACCCCAACGGCATGCTCATGGGGCATGACCAGGCAGCCGCCGCGGCGATTCCGGGATACCCGTACCACCCCGACAACAGCGGCGGCGTGCTCATGAGCTTCAGGGATCAGAATGCAGGTCTCCAGACATCTATGGACTTCGTGAACGGCTCCTCGTCCTCCTCCTCCATGGATCACGCCGCCGGCATGCCTAACGGCAACGGCTTTAGCCAAGGCATGGGCGCGGCCTTCATGGACTTGACGGCGGGAATGTGGACCACCGCCGCCGTGGATTCTGCCATGTGTGCAGGGATGGAAGTGGTTCAGCCGCTGCTACCGCAAGGGCTGCTGCAGGGGGAGGTGGTCGTCGGCCGGCAAGCTGTGATGAACGGTGGCGGTGCAGTTGCTGATAAGGGCATGGACATGATGGACGTCTCTTCGGTGTACGGCGGCGCCGGTGCAACGACTTTCGATCTGGAGCTGATGGAGTCGTGCGCGTTGTTTTGCGGCAGCGGCGTCGGCGGCAGCACCGGCAACGCCATGGAGCAGCTGCAATGGGACTGCTAAGCTCACTATCGTCCTTACACCTAATTAGTTTGTTGTCTTACATGCTTCAATCCATGTCTTTATTTTTCCTTTTAATTTTGATGTTCGATTTACTGGGTTCTTGATTCAGATCGTCCTTTTCAAGCAAGAAATGCATGAGCTGAGTGACGAACTCGATCATCTAATTCAGATTTCAATAAAGATATCTGAAATTTTATCTTGATTACTTACACTCGTTATTTGTTGATTTCTTCTCCGTGCGGTCGTCTAGCTCATCTGAAATTTTATCTTAGCAAGCAAACTGGTAACGAACTGCAGCAGAAATCACACCACCTCTGAGTTCTGAGCACACACACCAATCCTTATCTCTCTGCAGTCTTTTCTTGCACTGCAGTCAACTCACGCAGGAGGAACAAGTCAGTTACCAGTTGGCAGAAACAACATATACGTTTCAACCTTTTAGTGCAAGGAAAGTTGTTGAATTTTGCCAATTTATGCAGAGGCACACAAGTTTCTCCAACAAAAAAAATGCACTTTTCTCATATACTACTTGCAACAACACCTTTTGTCTCATCCAAGTATATATACGCACAAAAAAAATGCACTTTTCATATACTACTTGCATTATTATGATGTGCATGCAGTGTTTGTTGGTGAATTCATGCTTCAATTTCTTCTCTTTTTTCCCTTTTTTAGTTGAAATAATTTGTTTCTTGTGCAATACATGTGCATATATATCCTGCAAATTAGTGGACAAGATGCAACTATAATGCAAAATGCAGTATGTGCTTAAACTATATATGAGTGATTCCATACTAGAATGTGAACTAATAAGAACTAGAAAATACCACTGTCAAATTTTGAAAGGTTTGTTGTTTGCTTATATTAGTCCGTGCATTACAAAAGGTCATGTACGAAAAGCAATGAATGACACATAAAATACTGTTGATTCAGTACATCATATCTATAGCTACTGCTAGTAGAAGGATGTTTCTATTCATCAAAATCTGGTATATTAGGATATATATTTAATGTAAGAGCACATATACGTGGGACCATGTACTGAATTTTGTAAATCTTGCCATGCATGCATGCATGCACCTACTCTTTATTTGGAGAACGAAGAATGTGGTGCAAAAAGCAGTATGTAATGTATATGTATGTGTTATGCACATATATCTATATAAAGTTTTTGTGATAAAATTCTCTGCATAGCAAATTGACTTAGTGCAAGTGCATTTCACAAATACAGGATAACTAGCTACTTGATACAGAATGCCAGACAATTAGTTAGCTATGCAAACAAACTCGTATGTTGAATGGTAACAAGTGGTATAAATGTGTAATCCACTCCTTTAATTGGTAACTTGCCATATGTGTTCCGAGTTTCTGATATCGATCGCTGAATTCCATAAAAAAATTGATACCCCCCCCAACCCCCACACCCCCACCCCAATATTTTATTAGTACAGTTGAGGTAGAACTAGCCGTGTCATTAGGGAGGATAAGTTGACATGGCTATCCACATCTGTCCAATCTAATGTTCTTTCCGTCTTAAATTATAAATTATTATTTTCAAACATAACGTATACCTTGATGCATAGCAAAATATATATGCTTAGAAAATCGAAACAACTTATAATTTGAGAAGTTAAGACTGCACCTCGCCATAGGGTGGGTAGCTGCCCCTGTTACTCAGAGTAGCTGTGCAGAACAATTACTAAGTATATACATGTTTTGAAGGTATTTGTAAAATATTGTTGCATTGAATTAAACTATCGCCTAAATTGCAAAGATTGGAAACCGTGAATCCCAAAGGAACTAATGTTTAAATATCTTACAATGTTGCTCCGAATCTTGCCGCTTTCTTTCCAAAATGTGGTTTGGTGTTTAATCTATATACCTAACATTTTACTAGTACGGAATAGTTTTGTGCTCCTTCACTTTCTCCTATTCTCATAAGAGTTAGAACAACATGTCCATAGATGTTGTAGAGTCCGACCCAGACGAATTGGAATATGACGGTCACTCTCCTGTGCCCATATGAGTTATAGTGGCGTGTCCAAGCACGATGCAAAATCTGATCCCATGCCATGATCATTGGATAAATATGAAGCCTCCCATGCCCATACGAGTTAGAGTAGCGAGCATCCAAGCACACACACTCCAATTCAAAGACAGATTAGAATGCATGACGCGATCATTGCATAAATCTCTGAGTTGCAAGTTGTTTAAGCAGCCATGTGACAAACTCCAATTGAAACACACATGCATGTTTACTAGTTATAACAATATGCCATGCATTGAAGTTCTTAACAAAGTCATTAATTTGGTCATAAAAAATATATAGCAACATGTTCTTCCAAGACCAAATCCCATTATCCCTCCCTCAGCCATTGAAAGACAATTACCTTAATCACATTATTGTAGCATTTTTAACTTGATGATGAGTACAATAATTTTACATCATCCCAAGTACATGCAAAGAATATATGTTCCCAAACTCTAGTGCGCTAGTATTCTTTTATGTTGGAAAACACATCTTATTATTAATATTCCTCTCTCTCTCTCTCTCTCTCTCTCTCTCTCTCTCTCTCTCTCTGATTGGATTTGGCAATGGGTGGATATGGCAACCATTCAATTCACTTATTGTACTTTGTAAAAGTAATACCATTTATTTATTAACATTCATGAGCAGCCAAAAAATAATAAACCATGCATTATTCTAAATATGTTTGGGAACATTGTACGCCATGCTAGCGTGCAAAAAGTTACCTTCGAGAGCATGATCACTTGCATGTAGATATCCATAGACTATACTTTCATGCTGCGTAGCACAATGGAGACTTGATCAAGGTGTGTGGTCGATGTAGTCTACGTGGAATTAGTTGTAAGCCCCAATATAATGTAGCGCACAAACTAGCAGCACCTTATGGGAGTCCACATTTACACGGCATAAATACCACACATAGATGTGCTAGCACCTCTCATTTGGTCACGATCCAGGGATGGTTGATGGAGATGGTGACTAGGGTTCCCACCATGCAACTCTTGCAAATTATTCGTCTAAATGGTCGTTAAGCCGATATAGACACCATTTAAACATTACACAATGGTATGACATTTCTGTTTAGTTGGTTGTTTAACCTATTTAAATGGACATTTATCACGAATAATGGCTAAACAGCAAGTGATTGGTTGTTTAACGTTTAGAAAAACACTTACCTTGCATGAGGCGACATAACCTCGTGAATAGTAACATATGCAATGGAGCTTCTCTATCATCAAACTTAAATGCGCCACACCCCTTTTCTTATATAGGAGTTTCTAATGTGCCTTAAATGTGGTCCACTAGGATTCTATTACCCTAATGGGTCAAATAGATCAGAGCCCATTATCAGATTAAAGCCAATTAGCCCTACAACATGCATCCAATAATCGCCCACTTGCACTAAACTAGGCAAGTATCTCAATGTTTAACCCCTTGAGTTTCTAGTCAATTAGGTTCATGCAACTAATAGTTATGACCTAGAATCTATTTTCAATAATATTCAACATTAGCCTCTAGCAAGGAATACTAACCGCTAGAGGTTCACAAAAGATCATATATGGTGTCCCATTATTGAGGTTCGGTCAAAAAATCGTGGCCCTGGTGCAACACATGGGCATATATCTAGTGATAAATAAATGTCTATGTGTTGTGCTATGGGTTTGACTCAGAGCAACTCCAGCATGGCCCCTATTTGAGCCCCCATAGATAAATATGTGGACTCAGGTAAAAAATCCAACTACACTAGGGCCCCTACAACGGACCCCAAATTTGCGTGGGCACCCAAATCCTCCCACCAGACCCAACTCCCGTTGGCCCAACACCCCGGCCCCCATCCCGCAGCGTCGTACGCCCCCCATCCCAACACCCCGTACGATCATTCCTCCTGCGAGCGCGCCCATCCTCCCCTCCGGCGAGCATGCCCCCCCTCCCCTCCGGCGAGCACCTTCGCTCCAGCGAACAACAGCGTAGAGGATGAGCTCCCAATGCGACAACGAGCTCCGGCGGCGCCCTCCCCTCTTGCTGCGCGGCAACGAGCTCCGGTGGTGCCCTCCCCTTCGGTCGCGCGGTAGCAAGCTCCGGCGGTGCCCTCCCCTCCGGCCGCGCGGCAACGAGCTTCGACTGGCCCGCCGTGGGGGCACATGGGAGCGGCCCCGGCCTTTCATCGCATGGGCGCGCTGCGCCGATGTGCAAGCGGCCCCGGCCTCGACTCCAATGCGGTTTGGCCGAGGCCATCTGGAGGCCTCGACAGCGCAGCGCGGAGGAGGCCCCGCAACCCGTGCTTCCTCTTTCTCGTGTGGCTAGATTTGGGAGGAAGAAGAAAGAGACTAACGAGTGGGTCCCGCCTCATTCTCTTCCAAAATAGATTTGGGGGCTCAAGTTTGGGGCTACTGTTGGAGTTGGAGCAAAAAATTGAGCCAACAAAAATAGGAGGAGCACCCAAATTAAAGTTGGGAGCCTGATTTGGGTGCCCCTGCTGGAGTTGCTCTCACAACTATTCACCTTTGACCCTTGTCTTGATATTTCATAGACTAAGGGTGTTGAATGGTGACTCAAATCCTACTTGTAATATGACTCAAGAGAGGTGTGCTATTAGGACTTTTAGTTCTATTAGGATTTGAGTGTAAAATCCTATTAGGATTAAGACTCCTACTTGCATGGATGAGGACCATGAAGGGGTTATATAAACAAGGGTTAGAGGCCATAGGCATCAACCAAGCTAACACAAATGGTCTCCATCCAAAACTTGTAAGGAGCAATTAGGAGTGTTCAAGAGGATTAATCTAGATAGTTTTATTGTACTAGATTCTTGTATAAGCAAGAATCGATGGGTCCTAGAGGGTCAAGTAGGGTTGTGAGAGAGCGACAAACATGTACTCTTTTGGAGTTGTGCTTACAGAATAAGCGGCCGGCTTCACCAAAACCCCCACTCTCTTGTCGTGATTTCTTTAAAGATGTCATATAAGGTTTT